AGCACACAGTGGCGTGTTCAGGTTTCTAGTCTGTTTTCATAACAACATACAATGCTGTTCTGCGAAGCAGCAGAACAGATCAAAGATCACAGAAAATTGTTTCTGGCTTACTGTTTCTGGTTTTGCAGGCACTTGTGGAATTCCCAGGATACAGATTTCTTTGTTACTGCATGGCCTGAACACATGCTTGAAGATGCTAACATCATGTGCAGAGCTACTACATGAGTTAAATTGAAAAAATAGCCCCCAATACATGGTTTGACTTAATAATACTCTAATCTGTAGGGCAGTGGATATCACATTTCAATTTGTTCAGATCCAATTGCCTGATCTTTGCATTGTAATTCTGAAAATGGTTGGTATCACAGGTGTGTCAACCTGTTTTGGCATTTCAGTCAGTAGTAGGTTTTTTTTAATAAAAAAAATAGGCCTACATGGTACTTAGTATCATTTTTAATTGCTATTCAAATGCTGGATATCGTACAGATGAATTGGTAAAACAGGAAGCAGATTATTCCAGGGTCTGTACAGGAGTCTCACTATATAGGAAAGGACTCCTTAAAACGTGGATTGGTGTAAAGTCAAGAGTGCACTAAAAGTATGGTACAAATCAAGCTCAGTAGACATCAGATCTGGTTCCACCATCTCTGTAGTTTTTGTCTCCCATAAATATGTATAGTTGCCTCAATATATATAAAGCTTGACAAATACAGAATAATAGAAAGGACCTTTACATAATATTGTAAGAACAGGGTGACTCTACTTGCTTCTGAATCCCTTCCAGCAAGAGAGAAAAGATGCATTTTTTTTTAATGCTGTTTCCAGAGCCCAGGCAACTCTACGGTTCCTTTGGCGGTCTGCTCTGGCAGACAATATAAGCAGCATAAATAGCTAGGTCTGTGACACTGAAATGAATTCAGAAATCAGTGCACCTGCAGATCTCTCATACTTTTACTCAGTGAGCACTGCAAATTTCTTAATGCAGCTTTACACACATTTTTTTTCTTTGGACTGGGTGGAGTTCAGGAAGAAGCCAAAAATGTTCTTGCTTGTGTAATTTTCAGTTAAGATCACTTGAATTTAATTCTCGAATGTGATGTTTTTCCATCAGCTTGTGTAACTCTGAACACAAGTTATGTGATGTCATGTGCTCTGGCAGAACAGCTAGAAAGGTTACCGTTTAATGGGATTTGGAACATGGAAATCCAAACCTATTTAACATTGTTAAAAAAAAAAAATTACAATATTCCGTATCTTTTAAAGGCATCTCTTGGCTAAAGTAAAGAAGCCTGAGCTACTTTTTGATTCCTTTATTTTCAAGCATCGTTATCTTTTGGAGACTTACCTCTCTTTGAGACCTGCTAGTAATGCTCATAATGCACAAAAATACTGCCACTGCCAAGACATAGCGTTGAGACTCTCAATATACACATTCACATGCTTGACATGTTTCCCGCCATATTTAAGATATTTGATAACATTTCCACATTAATTTATAGGATCAAACTCTGCAGTCATTGTATAAAGGTAAAATTCTGACTTCAGCATTGCCAGAGATGGAGCTCAAAAACTTCATTGTGTTGTGTACAGCCACTTTAATGGTGAAAGTTCTTTGTTGAGTACAACATGTCCATGGGTTACTGCTTATGCAAGAAAGTTGTACTGTGGCTGCATGTTCCCTAATGAGATTAGGCAATCAATTCGTACAATCTCTCATTCTGTCGAGTGCTTTACTGCCGGTAAAAGGACATTTATATAACTTACCTGCACAGAAAACCACATCCCTTCTGTTTGAGAGATGAGACTGATGACAGACTGTGAATTTCCATGTGTGGTTTTTAACCAGCAGCTAGGTCTTGTCTTAATTAATACCCTGCAGCAACTTTGTTCCAGACTGTGTACTAATTTTTTTATGAACAATAATGACTCGTATCTCCACACAAGGCATCCAGCATTTCTTCACAATACAGCTTTTCTTTGAGGAGGTATTGCTGAACCTCAACAAAGCTGGGAAGCACTCTAGAGAACTTACTACCACTATTAGTGTGATGCCAGCTGTCAGAGAGTGCATGGAGGGCAAAACCGCTTGGCCAAGAAACTTAAAGGTAATTACCAAGAAGATATCAAATCAAGACTAGAGAGGACTGAAAGGAAAAAGTAGTTCCTAGGAAGGAGGGGAACAGGGGACAGTAGAGAAGTAGTGGAAGAAAGACCACATTTTCTTTGGCTTAGCACCCAAATCATCACCACCATCATCAACAACATCAAATCAGGCAGGTGAGTAGGAACCTGAATGTTCTCATCCAGACCTGATGTGCAGTAAGGAGAGGGGGAGATAAGTTGTGCAATACCTTCAGCACCTGACTGTTAGCGCTGGATAACACCAATCTTACATAATCCTGCACCAGAACCTCTTATCTCATTAGGAACTGGACTGTCATGCCTACTGCTGGCTACCGAATGCTAGACATGGAAAAGAGCAGCTGATGCCATGCTAGCTAATCAGCAGAAAAGGTACCATTTTCTTTGTGCTTCATGGTGTTGTCAACAGCAGAAGCAAAGGATTGCATGTTAACTCTTGCCTGCCTTGTCTAAAAGCAGTCATTTCATGGGCAGTCCTTCTAGTGAAGAGCATTTGCTGACACCATTTGTAATGAAAACAGAGAAAATTAACTTGGGCAATACAAACATCCAAAGGCCGTTGCCTTACCAAGAATAGATGCCATAGCTCAGGGATGAGAAACTTCGTTTCTATAGGCCAGATCCAGCTGTCAGACCATGTCTCATTGCCCTTCTTCCTAAGGGTCCCAAAGTCCTCAAGAAGTATATCTGTTCTATGACCAAAACATAGGGAGAAGACTAGTGAATCTGGTCACACAACAGGGATGACTGGCATGTCCCACAACAGGCAGGAGCGTTATTTAACAACAGATGACTGGATACATGACAAACACAGCCAAAATATATTTGTTTCCCATTTGTTTCACATTTCTATCAGCAGACTGAGAGATGAGTCCCTGACAGTTTGCAGAAGGCAGCTGAGGAGGACATTGAATGAGTTTGCATGGGTTTTCTTAGGCAACAAAACTATATCCATTAAACCAGTCAGTGGTGTTTTTCTTCTTTAAAAAGTTTGTGGGGCCCTAAGTTTTTTAGGCTTTAGCTCAGGGGAAGCCAACTGAAAACAGTCCTGTTCATCTTAGCTGCCTTTTGCAGATCACTTAGGAGGTGGTGTTCATGGTTCTCCATACAAAAATTTCCCTTGTGTACAGATACAACTATTGCGTTATGCATTGTAGTTGTAGGTGAAACTAATGAAATCCACAAAATGTGCTTGAGAACAATTGGTCTAATGAGCCTTGGTCTTTCTCCTAAATAATCAAGGAAACATCAGGGACACTTGCTTTCTCTATGTTCTTGAACAAAATCATATTCAAGAAAAGAATTGCCTGTCTGTTCATTGAGACACTATTTGAGATTTGGCTGAAGTATCTTGGAGGCTTCATAAACAGAAGGGAAAAAGAACCTGTAAATCTCTTTTTTTGAGCAGGAGCCTCCTAAGTAGATCCTGGAGATAAATGTTATGGCCAAATCTGTGAATTTAAAACAGATTATTAGCTGCTTAGATTGAAGCCTGGCTGTGGTAAATTTTCCTTTCAGACAATTTTAATTAAGGTGTATTGAATTTCTCCAGGAGGCTCATTTATTTATTTATCTCCTATTTGGTGTAGCATGTGGAGAACTTTTATTTCTTATTATTGGCACAGAATTTTTGTACCTCTCTGGGCCTCTAGAACTAGCTATTTAGTATTAGAAAGATTAAGATTAGTGCAAGTAGGAATTTATAAAAATTACAACTACAAAAAATGCTAAGTCTGTGTATTCACAAAAGAATAAGATGTTCTAGACTAATAACAAATAAAGAATATGTGATGTTCAGACTCAATGACAGTAAGAACCCAACCAATATACAAAAGTAGTAGACAGCACATTTCATGATTTGGTGTTTTCATTTTTAACAAATGGAGAAACTAAGGATGGAAACAAATAGTACGAGTTGCCCAAGGTTATGCAGCACATCAGTGATGAAGCTGGGAATATATTCCAGATACCAGTCTACCCAACAATGCTTCTGTCTGCAATCTGTGCTCGCCTCCGGTGCTGAAGCATCTCGGGTTGCATATCTACCACTGTGCCTAAGTGCAGACACGCAACGGCACGGGCATCTGGTCCTGTGAGAAATGTTTCCCATGTCTGAGATCTGTTGAGAAGTGCAGCAGGTCACCAGACTGCTATTTGTTTGAGCTCACTGGACCTACCTTAAGCATAACAGGTCATGGTTTTTAGGTTAGCTATTGATAGAAGGCTGCTACCTTCGATGTGGCACATTTGTGTAGTTGAAATACGGTGCTCCCTGCCTCACTTCTGAATGAGACCTAAGGCAGTGACCACAAGAAACCACAGTACCTTGTAGCAAATGCAGAAAACACAGGCACGGCCGTGGAGAATACAAGGTGAGAGCCTCGCATCCAGTGCCTCAAAATTGCTGTTTTGCATTTTCAGCATAATTGTTTTTAAATAGCTGAAGAGAGAGACTTTATCACACCTCTGAACTTCAACACTGAGTCAGACAGACATAGGGTCAGCTTGGAGGAATACATGAATACTCTGTAGAGTACAGTACAGATATTGTCAAAGTCCAGAAGTAAAGTCCAGTGGACTACAAGAGATAGGAAAAGTGACATCCATGAAAGGATCAGGAGCCCAGCATCCCTGAAGATCCAGTTATCAAATAAGGTATCACTAGTTTGATTTACAGTACTTTCTAATGGGTTGGAAAACCACAGTGGCCTCCTCTCTGGCAGAGTAATACCTTCTCCACCTAATTAGTGCCAAGTGACATCTACCTTGCTCCCAACCTTTTTCTTCTAACTTTTGTATACAAAAGCCATGCAAGACATTGCTATCCCTTCTAATCTTGCCATGTTTGCTTCCTGCAGGTGAACGGCCTTTTGAATGCAACTGGCAAGGATGTAACAAGAAGTTTGCTCGCTCCGATGAGCTGGCCCGCCATTACCGTACTCACACTGGAGAAAAGAAGTTCAGCTGTCCTCTCTGTGAGAAACGCTTCATGCGCAGTGACCACCTGACAAAGCATGCCCGTCGCCATGCCAATTTCCACCCAAGCATGCTCAAGAGGCGAAGTGGAAGCAGCTCAAGAACAGGGTCTGTCAGTGACTACAGCCGCTCAGATGCCTCAAGTCCGACGATTAGCCCCGCCAGTTCACCATAGACCTACCTGCACTGGATGTCAGCACTTTGCCTCTAATACCTAACGTGGAGTTTTGTTTGTGTTGCACACATTTAAAAAAACCTGTCGCTTCCCCTTCTCCGTTCCCAACACCCCTTTAAAAAAAAAAAAAAAAAAAAAAAATCAGTAAATAGCTGCCTCCCACTGCAATTTCCAGTCAAATTTTCTTTACCCAACCACACAAGTGGCTATTCTAACCTCATGGACAGACTTACATGTTCCACTTAGTGACTCCTGCTGTCTCAATATGTCATACATTTTGCAACCATTTACAGATCCTCTTGATTATTCTTTATAAGAAAATGAGAAAATCTAAAAAAAGAAAAAAAACCCCCACTTAATTCACCTCAGGTGTCAAAGTAGTTTTATAAGACCGGATTGCACAACATGAGCATACATACACTTACAAATCAACTGTGTTGGATTGTGTCCCCCTTCTCCTTTCTCAGGGATGGATATTTATGTTACACAATAATTACAATGAAGACACACCCTAACCACAGCCTTACTCTGTAAATATATTTGCACTCAGAAGCTTTTTGTTAGGTTCTTTCACACACTGCGGAAAACATAAAAAACAAACAAACAATACAAAAAACAAACCAGTACTGGAATGTAGGACCAGACTCTTCCATTGTTTGTTTTCCTGATTATATACCTACATTGGGGAGCGTCCAAACAGGAGTCTTGCCCTTCTTCAAGCTGCCCTCTGCTTCTGGTAGCAAGCCGTCTTTTCACTTCATGCTGAAGATGCTCCAAAACCAACTTCCTATTGCAGAAATCTCTGTGAGGTTGATAAACTTGTTTGTTTGTTTGTTTCATGCTAGATAAAATTCTGAGAAAAACTTCTAAACAAGATGCCTTAAGTAAATAGCCTAAATTACAAGGAAACTTATTTACACTGGGTAACATTTTATTGCAAAGGTAGCATGGAATCTCGGAGGCATTCTGTTGTCACTCTCTCCATGTTGTTAAGCTCTCTGCACTGCCTGTTCAGTATGGGACCAACAGAATATTCAAATCAAACCACACTGACTTGAACAATTTTCTTCATTCTTTTTTCCTTTTTTTTTTTTTTTAATGAACTATGGAAATAGCATAGCTGAACCAATGCCCATCAACACTTTTATCAAGGTACATACCTACTGTACAGCTTTATCTCAGCAAGACAAATTGGCTAAGACATGGTTTCTGTATCCTGTTGCATCACGATCGTGGTTACTGATAAAAGGAAGCAAAAATCATAAGATCTCTTCTGACTGGAAAAATAAAATATGCATTTTTAAGTTTTAAAACAAAATGACATTTTAGCTCAGCACTACTACAAGTTTTTCAAAAATACACATACCAGCATAAAGTAAGGTGCTCCCATATCTGAATAATTGCATAATAACAAAAAGGGAATCTTGGCTAGTTTTCAATAACTTTCAAATATTTGACACTAGATAGAGCACTAGGAGGTAGATTTTTATGTTTTATATGGTAGAAAATACAGCAAAAGACCAGGAGCATTGTGATGTACTGGAGACCTCACTGGCAGCAAATACACTTTCCTTGGTTTGGCTGGGTCTGATGGTGTATATTATAAATTCAGGTCCTTTTGATTGTGGAATTTTTTGGGTTTCCTTGTTTTTACTGTAGGGGTATAAGTGCAGTTAAGTGTAGCATGGTGAAAAGAAACTCTCTACGCCAAACCTGCCTTTTGATATCAAGTGAATGCCTCCACGTTCCAAATGAACCTGTATCTTGCTGCTTTGCATTGATCCAATTTTGCAAGTTTTTACTGTACTGTATATTAATTGTGAGAGGCTAATATAGATTTCCAACTAGTTTCATAGGTACTTTCATACTATTTACATTATTCCTAATACTACACATTCTACTAGTTGTACAGATAAATACTTAACGACAGTTCAAAGTGCAGATATTTCAGTATTTTTTCCTGTTCATTTGCTTCAGTTTTCACCTCTATAAAATCACAATTTTCCCCTTTTGAACTGGAAGTCATGCAAGGCACAATTCTACTGTTTCATTTCACAGAAAATGAAAGAACATCGTAAGGTTTTTTTGCAAGATGACAAATATTGTTGAGTTTGTGTGATGAGTTGCCTAACCACTGTGAGTTAGGGGAAAACCAGATCTGTTTGCCTCCATAGATTTCCTCTTTCCTTTGTTTAAAACCTCATCTACTAAGATACAAAATTTTAACAACTTGATACAATTCAGGTAACAGGAATTCACATTCCAATCATTTCTGTGACTGCTAAAAGTGCTCTTGTGCTGTAGTTGGTAGAGGCATTTAAGATAACTAGCTAAAGGAATTCTACAGGTCAGCTGTATCTTGTGCACATACTTTGAAACGAGTCATGACCACATATCTCATTATCATTATACCTTAACTAAGGGATGGGGGGGGCGGTGGGTGGGTGGGCCGGAACCAAAATCAAAAGGAGAACTAAGTATCAGCAAAAATAACAGACTTCATGTTCTAAGTTCAGTTTGTTATAAAGTCATCTTTTCCAACAGGAGCATCATTTAATCTTTAGCAAAGGAGGAATCATTCCAGTCCATTTATTTAGTGCATAATAATTCAGCATGAATCAGTAGGTGCATTACAAATGAGTTGTTTTAATAGCCTGGAGAAAGAATATTCGTACAAGGTTTTATTAGTACTGAGATTATGGGATATAAAGATTATGGGACAGCCTATTCTGAGTGACACAAGAACTATGTAATCTTTAACGCAAACAGTGAACTAAGCGTTTTATGTATATTCCTCATAGAGATTACTAATAATTCTCCAACATTAAGCAGGGAAAAAAAAAAAAGGGTTCAAAGTTGAATTTCCAGTTCCGCCAGTTCATCTAATGAGAAGGCTATGAGACTATATATAGCCAACATAGCTACACTTTCAGTAATTTCTCTGAAATTTGTCGCTAAAACTTTTTTTTTTTTTTTTTTACATCTTAGTTGTAAATACCTCTGAGTGTGTTAGGCTGACAGTCAAATTACTGTGTTTTAAAATCCTACCTAGGGTTTCAAATGTCTCCATTAAATGTTTAATACATGATAGCTTTAGGATAAAATGATGAATTCCAAACCACTAGTAGTTTCTAAAACTGAATGTGAACAAAACTTCTCTCAATATTTTCATATGGAAGGAGAGTGTTTGGGGTTTTCTAGCATCTGGATGCTAGAAAAGAAGCAGAAGCACCAGCAAGGTCATAAGACTCCATTCTCATGATTGTTCCTCCTGAGTTTTGCAGATATGAGAAGTCTGAACAGCTCAAATTATGTTTTGAAATCTGGGTGCTTATCCACACCTCAGATTTTTACCCTTTTGTTGTTTAACCCAGTGGTGTAACCTAAACCAGTCTCCTGACATAGCAACAAAGATTGCACACTCAGGAAATACTGCTCTGGCGAGGTCCAGATTTCTTCACAGTGCTCCACTTGGAGGAGTCTGCATCTCTTCTTCTGCCTCCTCCTTTCCCCATGCAATCTGTTGAGGTGAATCCCCACAAAATACAAAATTGCCCTGATTTTTTTTCTTTTAGTAACAGGTTTATTATTATTAAGGAAGCCCTGAAAGTTTGTTTGTTTCTCTCCAGCCATGATTCTAGCTTCCTCTCTAAAAGTTGAGCTTAACTGCCTTGCTATAGGAAATGGGTGGAAGTTAAAATCATCACCTTCCTTACCACCACTCAACTAAATTTGAAAGAAACTAAAGATGCTCTTAAAAAGTCATTCACCCCTTCCATTAACCTCATCCCATGCAAAGGGGATTAAAGTGCATTAATGGCCACATGAATTCAGTTTTCATCCTGCTTCTTAGTAGTCCTGGTAAACTCCTAGCATCTAGATTTTATTGTGAGAATTGTTTATATCTGCAAATTAGTTGTTCCTTGCTTTTATAATCTATCCTTAGTATCTGTTTACATTACATAACTGCAAAGGTATAGATTTGTAACAAGTCATCAGAAGCCTCTGTTTGATGGTAACACCTAATTCCTGTATGTATCCTACCCTATTTACTGCATAACCCTTGCAATAACTTTTAGCTATGAGCGCCTCTGTACACCTTTAAAACCTTACTACCTTCTATCCAGATGTTCAGTGCTTCCCATGTTTCATGGAGCCAGACAGTAAAAGGCTGTGTGAGGAGCTTACCCATTTCTAGCTATTCACATTCACGACTGCTTTTCTCCAGTTCTTTGCCATGAGTCCTAGAATTTGTATGTGTGAAGTGCATTGTTGTTTTGGGGAACATGGTTTGTGAAGAAAGAATAAGGAAAACGAACTCTGCATGCTTAAAGCTTGCCTTTTCAATGCCATTTGATTTACTAATTTCATCAGGTGATGCGTACAAACTGACTTTCAGGTGCTTTTTTACTCCATCCCACCATCTGTTTGTGCATTGGGTGCTAACATATCATCTATGTCAGTGAATGGTATGATGAACATCTGTATTTTTAACTCTTTTGGGGATAAAGCTATAGCCTTAAGTGAAGAAAATAACCGAATTATACTTGTTTACCCCATAAGCCAGAATATAGAATGCAAAAGCCCATCCACTGGTATAGGTTTTATATATATATAAATATTTATATATATGGATTTATATAAGTATATGCACATATATATAAATAGGTATATATGTGTATCTTGTATAGTACATGTGTGTATACATAAATACACAGCAGTGTGTATATACTATACACCGAATAATGAAGGGATGTCTACAGAACAAAAATAGGTATCCGTTTCATTATAACTAGTGATGGTTCTGAACCAAAATCCTAGATCCAAACGCCATTGCATTTGGAAAGTTTGAACCTGTTGTTTGAGATTTGTGGTTGAGTTTCATCTCTGGTTACAGCTGCAGTTATCTGTGTATATATGCATTCTGGGAGATGTGTGTGTGCAGGCACATGTGCTTTTTCACAAGCACATGCCTGTATGGGTGACACGAGAATATGTGT